AATAAGCAACACTTTGACATTGCTAAAATTATATTTTGGAGGACCAGTAAAAAGTAAATGCACAAGTTGATTTGTGGAATTATTTTTTTTAAATTTAACCAAACATTTTTTAATTTATACAATATTTTTCCACGGGCCTAATGTGAACATACCAAAAACATCAGTTAACCAAGGTTTGACCAGTAGCAACCCTGAGACATGATAGATAGCAGTTTTTCCCATCTCCAAGTCTATAGCTAAAATAACATGCTAGCAACAAATACATGTTAAGGATAGGATATAGTAATAGGATAACATAGTAATAGCACTACAATGTATATAGTTCATGAAACTATGATACCATACATACCCTATTAGAGGTACATACTCATTATGGAAGTCATGATTACCATGGTAACTATTAGCAGTGTATCTATACAGTCACTCTAAAATCAAAGATTCCCTATATTGTATATACATATGTGTTATATGCAGTAGCTAAACTATTCTAAAATAATTATCAAAAATTATAAAAAGTATTATAAAAAATATACTATTTACTCATTTTTTTTAGGTATACAGATATTTCAGTAAAATAGAATCTGTGCACAGTACGCTGAGATACTGGTTGATTTCAGTGAAATAGATTCTGTGCACAGAACCCTGGGATGCTGGTTGATTTCAGTAAAATAGAATCTGTGCACAGTACCGTGGGATGCTGGTTGATTTCAGTAAAATAGAATCTGTGCACAGTACCGTGGGATGCTGGTTGATTTCAGTGAAATAGAATCTGTGCACAGTACCGTGGGATGCTGGTTGATTTCAGTAAAATAGAATCTGTGCACAGTACCGTGGGATGCTGGTTGGTTTCAGTAAAATAGAATCTGTGCACAGTACGCTGAGATACTGGTTGATTTCAGTAAAATAGAATCTGTGCACAGTACGCTGAGATAGTGGTTGATTTCAGTAAAATAGAATCTGTGCACAGTACGCTGAGATACTGGTTGATTTCAGTAAAATAGAGTCTGTGCACAGTACGCTGAGATACTGGTTGATTTCAGTGAAATAGAATCTGTGCACAGTACGCTGAGATACTGGTTGATTTCAGTGAAATAGATTCTGTGCATAGTACCTACAGTTAGTTTATGGGATGACCAATCAAATCTCTGGGTGGGAGATGAAAAAACAAAAACATTGGTAAATTTCAAAGTGTGTGTAATTTTTTTTAATAAATATATTTTCCCAGAAATTTTGCCTCAAACCCTCCAGAGTCTGTGATGGTCT